TAAAGAAAGCTAAAAAGTTTTCAAGTTAGAGAAAAATCAATTAATCTGTTAATGAATTTGCTAACATACCCAACAGGATGTTGAATCCACAGTCCTAACTGCTGCAGCTTGTTTTACATTCAGGCTCAGTAGAACACTATGTACACAATAGTTTCTATTGACTCAATAGTATTACAGCAATTCTAAGATTGAAAATAGATAGCTAAGGGAATCCAAAGAGCACCAAAGGTTGTTTATTCACATAATTTAGCCTCTGGATGTCTGCCTTCAGTGGATCGAATGGAAGTTGATTGGAAGCAGAAAGCCCTGTTGTCAGAGGTAATCACAGATGTTGGATTATGATGAAGCGTCTCCTCGGCCCTTCAGACCTACAGCTGTCTCATCTCACTTTCTTTCCTTCCATCCTTCCCGTTAACTCTTCCTTTTTTCATTTTTCTTTATAGTCTTTCTCATTTTTGCATCAATGAAACCGGACTATTCATAAAAAAAAGGATTCATTCAAAGTAATGAGCAATAGAAGAACATGCAGTACTCTTAATCAGACAGGTCATTCTGATAGACGAGAAAACAACTACCAGACATTGAGAAAAAATGTATTTAATTTGTCACTTCTAAGCTTGTAAAAGTTGAGACAAAATAAAAATGATCTAATCTTTAGGCCCTAAAAAACGAAGTACACCATTGATGCACTTAAGTGATAAAGTATCTGGGGTGACTGGATCAGTGGGTAGAGTAGTCGTCTTGAAATGGAAGGTCATAGATTCGATTTCATCTTTCTCCTGTCACATGTCAATGTGCCCCTGGACTTAACCCCAAGTTCCTACCGATCTGTGTATTCATACAAATTGTGCGTTTTAAAGTTTGGGTGAATGTGGCTGTAACGTAAAGTACTTTCAGTGATCACTGACAGAAAATGCGCTGTGTAAGTTTAGCCCATTTACCATCACCATTTTACCCACTAGTGCTTGATTAACAAGACAGGTGTGTTTACAAAAATAGCAGGAGGTAAAGGCATCAGATGCTTTTACCTAGATGCTGCCAATCAAGCTGGAGAAGACCAGGATATTCTCTTTCCTTTGAAATTCTTTAAATAAGCTTTAGTTGGTCGGTCTTTTGCTGTTAAAATACAGCTTTCACCACACACAGAATGTCTAACAATACCTGCAGTATGTTGGTGAGTGATATCAGCTCCTGAATGCATACGCCAAGCGGACCGGAGAGCACTCCAAAAGCAGAAAGCGGACTGTAGTGCAGGGCATTCTGGATAAATACAACCAAAACAATTGTGTGAGTATAACACTAGCTGGAGCAATAGCGTGTGGTTCTTTGCCAAAGACAAAGGAGAAATCTTAAAACCGCTAAAATCTGATGCCACTCTATTTTGTTTACATATTGTAAAGAAGGAAGTTGCGCTCATGTCTTCTTCAGAGATTTTTGTGTCCTTTGGTGGTTCTTGTTGCCATGCCACCACAGGCAAGTAGGTGAACAGGATTTAGATTAGTTTGGATTGTTTGGCAGTCCAATGTGAAAGTGAACCTCAACAGCTGAAAATGTAACAAGGGTTGCAGTTGTGGTCAATTGAACAGAGTCTGCCAGAAAACACCTAAAGATTTAGGAATTGTTGAGTGTTTATATAAATATTAATGAATGGACCTGATTGCTCTGTAGCATCCCTGGCGGAAGCAACCAGAGTTTGACTGGGTAACTGGTTCCACTGGTGTTGTGTTGTGATACAGTTTGTCCAATCACCTGACAAGAACCTTTGAAAAGTGTCGGTGCTTTTCCAATGAAAGACTTTCAGGATGTTTCTGGATGACCTGTCGTTACCCCTTCAATTGCAACATCAGGTGAGTTCATGGGCTCTGTTCCAGACTTTAGCCCACTGAGAGACCCTGTGGTGTTTATAATGAAAATCTGCATTGCCCACTGACTTAATCATCCACTGTATTCTCTGAATACAGGGTAGCCATCTGTTTTTGCATTTTAAATTCTACTTCAGTGCCATTGTACCTAATAATTATGCTGTAAATATACCAGTGTATATGGCATAAATAGATACCAGCATGATGGAGAGCTTAATCCGCTGTGATGGACATTATTTAGCAGATTAGGAAGTCTCCAGGGCATCTCGGTGTTCAAGTGTCCACTGGGGAGGAGTGTCCAGCACAGACTCGGAACTTGCTAGAGGGACAATATGTTCCTTGTGTCCTCAGATCATCTTGGGATCTCCCAGGTAGAGCTGGAGATATTCACTGGGGAGAGGGATTTCAATAGTTTTCCCATGCTAACCAGATTTATTTGTGTAAATAGTTTTGTTCACTATTCAATCTAATCTAAGGCAGTGCGTTAGAATAAAATTTAAATGTTCATGCGCGACCCTTCTACAGTTTGCGCCCCTGCCCACCTCCCCTAAGAAAAATAATCTAGGCATACCCCTGAGGACAGTTGGTCTCACAAGTACTCACAACTTCTGACGATCCCACTGTTGTGCACTGTGGTGCATCTACTCCTACTGTAACTGCAGAGAGGAGTTTGCTACTCCAGGCACAGCTTACAGGACTAATTAAACGCCATCGAGGGTGCAGCTGCAGCTCTCAGCACCACATGTGGTTGAATAGTCCATGTTTTTCATTTTCTATTCATTCGGTGCAAGAGCTAAAAAAACACAGCAGAGTTGCTGCAAATGAAGACACAAACTGCTGGAAAGTTTCTTAAGCCGCATAATGTGTAAGAAGTGTTAGAAGTAGATGTTTTATTAAAGCCAGAGCAAATCCGCCCAATCGATCGAGATTTCATTCAGCCTCCATACCCCCTCAATCCTCGCAGGAAAGATGCAGGGCTGTATAAGAGTGACTGGACCTACAATCTCCCCACTCTCGCGTCAGCGTTGTGACCCTCATGTTACGTAAGGCTCTCAGCGGCTGACCAGCCCACACCTGTCCTCAAGCCCCGACAACCTGTAATCAGTGTGGAGAGGTGCCGTGACAGCGGGAAATGCAAAGCAGCCAGTAGATCTGTCTTCACGGGTCACGCAAACACCAAACACATTCCCGAGCTTCTCGAGCACACTGACGCGCTCAGATACATCGCTCGCCGTGACCTTTTCGCTTTCGGTTTGAATGAAGAGCGCTCAAAGCCTGTGTGACAAGCATAACGAATGAGATAACCAGGGCGACAGTGGAGGGAGACGCTGCATAGGGTGGTCAGGACACAGAAGAGACGGAAGAGAAGTAGCAGCCGTGTTGCGGCAGTCACAACTGTAGAAATCCGTCATGAGAACAGCTTTAATCTCCTAAGTCAGGGGTTGTCGAAGTGTAGGAGCTCGTGGTGAACGAACAAGCAAAACAAAATAAACTAAACTTGATTTAAATTGCAAAAACGTATTGAGGAAATAAATTAACAGATGGATATCATGTGGACCAAATTACATCAGTGGCACAAACCATCACATCCCAAGTTCCTCAAAAGGCTCAGTCATGCTCCACTAACTATGGAATAGTTCAAGTTTTTTCTTTTCTTTGTTTTTCTTTTTTTTTTTATTTTTTTTTTTACCCTTAGTATTTGGCGAAAACAACAACATAAAAAAAATTATCCAAAATGTAGACTCAAGGAGATAAAAAGAAAAGGAAAAGATTCAATAGTCCCACTGGTTCACTACTCTTAGCAAAGATTCAGGGGTGAAAAAAAAAACAACAAAAAAAAAAAAAACTTTGACCTACAAATAATGCTGGCAAAAGGTGCAGTTAGCAATCGGCTAACGTTTCTAAATTACATCCATACATTCTTGGACTAAATTAATAATTAAGTTTTATATTAATTCCAAGTTAGCTTTTAAAATCATTCAACAATTACAGTATGTGTTGCGCAAAAATGTTGTATCTTCTGTACTTCAATAACAACGCTACAAGCATTAGCATTTCAAAAGATGTCAACACCATCATAAAAATAAATTGGTCAATGGCAGTTTATCTGAACAGTTAAGGACCCTTAAAATATTAACCAAAAACAATCAGAAGCTCCATATTTCTGGATCTCAAATAGTTTTATACACAAGCTTACCAAGAATAACTCAACTTCACCATTGACTTCTGTGAACAGGGAAGTTATAAAATAGATCAAACGGGACCTAAAAAAATCCACTAGCGGTAAAATGACCAACACTTGGCACAAGGATCCAAACAACCTGAATGTCAAGCAACTCACCGCTGAATTTAGTAATGCCATATTTAGTTTTCATCCAGATTTGGGTGGTAAAAGGCAAACACCTCCACTTCAACTATACACCCTGCGTTCAAACAGTGCCCCCAGTGGCTGGAGGAATGAACGGATTATAGGCCTGGTGAAGTTAACTAAATCTCTGCAGTTTGTCAAATTTGTTTTTTAGGTAGTGGTTTAGACGGTAAGCAGTACAGGTATCATAGAAGTGGAGGCAGAAGTTGTCTGGACTGAAAGTAATTTAGATGGTTCCAAGTTATGGAAGCGTTGGTTATATACAGTACAATATGTATTGAGCTCTGAGTCAGAGCAGTCTGACAGAGTGATTATAGCACTTTGTTTGGTCCCATCTTGCACAAGATTCCTAACAAACATGACTGTGCTTTTCACCTCAACAGTGCTTGGATAAATACATTTTTCTTTCTATAATAATTGACTCTCAGGAATACATAAGTAGTTCAACAAACATGTTTCGCAGCTGCCTTTGCAGATTTATCACTGCTGGAAACCTGACTGTAGGTAGCAAAGAAAAGAACAGAAGAAGATACACAGTGGAAATCCTCACAAGGCTTCATTGTATTCAGTGAGCTGACAATCCTGTGATATCTTTGTATTTTTCTTCCATTCTTCCATTCCATATGTTGTACTGCCTGTGATATTGAGTCGTTTGCTGCTTTAGTTATCCGTTTTCTATGTTTGACCTTTTTTACTCCTCCTCTTTCCTATAGTGTGGGACACAAACTGATGAAAATCAATTGTCTGTTATTTCTTTTCCGCCTCTGCAGAGGGCCTGGCTGTAGGGGTCGGCTTCGGAGCCATAGGAAAAACAACGTCTGCTACCTTTGAGAGTGCCAGGTAAGATGACTATCAAGGTTTTTATTTGGTGCAAAACTCGGTCCTAATTAATGAATCCCTTAATTTCTGTATTTGGTTTAAACATATCATGTTAGAAGATTTTTTTTTATGACAGCAAAAACATAATGACCATTTACATTTAAATGTGTTTTTATTGTTAACCTTTGAAAATGTATTAGTTTAAATAAACTTCAAATAAACATGTTTATGTGTTTCTTCAAGATAAAAGGGCTTGCCTGCTGTTGCCATTTAGTGGCTACATCATGGAATTACCGGTTTCTCCTCAGCAGAGCTACATGGTTCTGCAGAAACGCTTACAGTATAAATAAATAATTTGTTCATCATCTTGGGGCAGTAACCTGCTGGTGATTGGCCTTCCACTGTTCAGAAAATCTGATTACATAATTCTGCTGTTTTATACAACCCTGTACTACAAAACAAAATCTAACCTATGTTATTAAATATTGTATGATTTTACTGTTGAGCAGGTAAAAGAAAATCAGATTAGAATTTTTTATTATTCTATTCTTTTGATTTGACCATCTTTGCCAACAGGTTTAGCAACCATTTGGTCTCAGAAGACATTGAATTGGTTCATATATTAGAGTTTATTGTCAGTATAAATGCAGTTGTTCTACAAAGACTCAAGAGGTTTGTGAGAGAAACATCAATCAAAAGCCATCAGTTGTTAAAGGATGCAATAACAGATCTATAAGTCCATCTCCAGGAGCGGTAGACGTGGTTGGTTTCTGCATCTGTAAGTCTCATCACAGTAAGTTTACCAATCTGGAGATATCACACCAGAGAAGCAGAGTAGCTGCTTTTGGCTTGTTTTGGTGATGAGAAAAATGAGCCTGAGGAAAGAGAAGCAAAAGGACAAAGAGGTGAGAGGTCATATGATGAGGTCCTTTGAGATTAAGATTATGTTGAGCCCTTTGGGCAGTTATTTCGGGCCAATGAGGCCGTGTAATGTGACTCAGTGCAAGCAGTGGAGAGAATTAGAGTAATTTCAGTGGGCATAGCTATCCATAGTATGCTAACATTCTGTGGGTACTGCAGATCTCTTTTTGCTTTGAATTTGTTTTATTACTTAGTGTATGCTACAGAGGATGCTGACAAGAGCGTCCTCTGAAGCTCTTAAAAGCTGATTTACAGTTCTTTTGAAAGTTTGCGTTGAGCGCACATGAGCCGCGTATGTTGGTGCCACATTTTACTAACATAAGCCTTCATAGAGGGATTATATAAATGCCAATGTAAGAGGACCAATCCGCTCTGCAAGAACATCTTCCAGATAATCAAGTTTGGGTGAAAAGTAGCACGTGCGATTCGTGCCGAGTTCCTAAAGTTCATAAGTGCACGACCAAGCGGTACTTGTCTCGCCAACGCGCGGGGGGGGAACGGTGCATTTGGTGTGCATCCCCTTGCACCCGGTTCAGTGTGTCAACTATTAACTTGGCACAGTTTAATGCCACATCTAGAGAGTGTATGAAAAGTCCCGGACCATTTGGTCTCTGCAGATGTTGGAAAAAAATAAAAAAACTAACTCGAAATTAGTCACTCTCACTTGTTTTTTTGTTTTTTTTCTCTCTTTACGACCAAGAATTCTCTGACAGATGCCCACTTTCTAGATTGAATGTGTTATAGGCAGTAAAGGACCTGCTCTAAGTTTTCAGTGTAGGGACTAAAGACAATATTTTTATCTTCATAGAGCTGGCTTACGCTTATTATATACTGAGTAATGTTAGGCAATAGGGCTGCATGTCAGATCAGATCTTTATTGTAATTGTTGCCTTTTAGAAAGAAACGACGAAATTAAAAATGTGCAGTCAACTCCATGTTAGCTATTCATCATTTTGATAAGTGTGACTATATGACATGTAAATAACTTGTAGTTTACAATGTTTCGTGCAGCTCTACGAGAAAGGGCTGATATTTCCCTTTGCATGCAGCCTCCCCATCCAATCAGAAAATTGTTGTTAGAACTTTAAAACTTAAAGTTCCTGGATGTTCTTCTGAGTTTCTTGGGACACTAGTCTTCACATCCCACTGTTTATACTTTCGGTTTTCCTGTTTATAATTTGCTGAGTGCCTCAGTAAATCGTTGAGGTAAACAACTGCACACACTTTGTTAGAATCCTCCCAGTCTGAATATTCAGCTAAATACATCATCGCTAAATTATGTTGTTGTTCCTGGAGAGTAAAATCTATATCATCATTACTAATATGAGGACACATATTAAGAGAACAGCATTATTCAGTGCAAAATCCTCCCCTGCACTATTTAACTGAAAACTGTTTTCCTCAAACTGTACAGCTGGTGCTAGTGCTGGTCCTTAGACTGACTTTAGTTGCCCTAAGAATAAATCTTGATATCAATTATTTACAAGGTCAGTACAGATGAATTGACTGTGACACAGAGCTAGAAACAAACAGAAACTTTGCCCCTTTAGAAACATCTCAAACAGAAGAGCAGGGGAGAACATTTCAAGAACTCTCAGTACAGATGAAGAAGAAAACGGTGGACCCAGTCCTGGTTCAGCTGTGAACTGATGCAACTCAACCTGCTGATGTAAAATATTTACGGCGTCTTGCAAAGGAATTCACGTCTCCACTGTTTGTCCCATTTTAACAACAAACTTCATTGCATGTTCTAGAAGTAGTTGACTTCACAAGGCAAATGGTTTCATTGTTTCAATTAGGGGCGTCAGAGTAAAGGAGCTAGTTACGAATGCAATGATTTGAAAACTAGATTTGAAAGACGTGCATCATTTACCTTCTGCTTTACAATTTTGCACCACTGTGTTGGTTCATCACATAAAATTGTAATATAATATCGGGTCCAACTTGTAATGTAAACAAAGTTCAACAGGTGTGAATACTTTTTCAAGAATCTGTAACAAGATGGTCTTTTTAACTTCAGCTATCTCCAAGTTTTATACCTGTGAGGGAGCCATAATGGATTTTGAGGTTGTTTCATAAGAAACTACAAATTCTCCTCCTTGGAAATCAAAATTTTTGAGTTTTAATGTTTGTTTGTTTTTTTCCAAAGTAAATTAAGACATTTGACAGGGTGTCAGTTGCTTATATATATATTTTTAATCAACTATTGATTATTGATGGTTTGCTCTCCTTCAGAAATCTGGCTATCGGGATCGGCATCCAGAATTTCCCAGAAGGCTTGGCGGTGAGCCTGCCTCTGAGGGGCTCCGGGGTCTCAACGTGGACGGCCTTCTGGTAGGCAAACCTTCTCATCTGCTGGTTTGTAGCACCGCTCTGTAAAAGTCCTGGCCTCCATCATGATGTCACTTTCTCCTCCAGGTACGGTCAGCTCAGTGGAATGGTAGAACCCATCGCCGGCCTTCTGGGCGCCGCCGCTGTCGTATTTGCGGAACCTCTGCTGCCGTACGCGTTGGCGTTTGCTGCCGGAGCGATGGTCTACGTCGTCGTGGATGACATCATTCCTGAGGCTCAAGTCAGGTTAGTGGAAAAATATGGCTGACGTTCGGAGAGAAGGCTGGAGTGCTAATGTACGACGGTGTATCAGGACCGTTGTAGATAAAAAATGACAGGAGTACATTTCTGCCAGAGAACTCAGAAATTTTTAGATCCATGTCAGAAATTTTGTAAAGAAAACAAGGAACCCTCTGAGCACCAAAAGTCAGAAATTTGCTATTAAAAAAATTCTGAAATTTTAAGATAAATCTCAGAAATTTGCTAGAAAAAAGTGGGAAATTTCTGTTCTCTAAAATTTGAAAATTTGCAAGGATAAGAAAACTGAAATTTTGAGATTAATCTCATAAATTTGCTCGGAAATTTCTCAGAAAAGCTCAAAAAGTCCAAATTTTAGACTTTTAGAATTCAGAAATTTCCTTGTTTTTTTCTTAAAAATTTTTTAGATTAATGTCCAAATTTCTGAAATTTACTTCTTTTTTTTCTATAAGTCATTTATCTACCTGTCCTCTGCTGTTATCTCTTGTCTTTTGGTGCCACCAGCGGTAACGGCAGACTGGCTTCGTGGACCTCCATTCTGGGATTTGTCGTGATGATGTCACTAGACGTGGGGCTGGGCTGAGGTCGCCATGGCGACCGAAAAGAAATAAACCAAGGCTCAGAGAAGCACAGCTGACCTCAGTTTTAAAGAAGGGAACCAGTTGTTGAGTCCAATTTCCGCTACTTGAAGTTGAACTGTGAGCAAACTTTTCCATGCAATGATTGCTGTACTTGAACTGAAATGTTTTCTATGAGATTCTTACAGTTGAATAAGACAGGAAGGTTTTGTGATTCAAGTGCTGGTGAAGGTTTTGTTTGCTGATGTTTTTTCAGAAGAAAATATCTTTAATATGACCGCTTAAATCTATGCTTTTGTCTTTTTTCATTTGAACATGGTATTATGGGATTTAATAAGGTTACATCATACTAGTAACTTAAATGTACTGAATCTGTTTTTTTCTTGTCTTCTTCATATATTATAATTTATATTTGCCTCCCTCCTCTGTTGTAACACAAAACTGAACAGAGGGCAGGGCAGCGTAAGTCTCCTGCCATCTACTGGTCGATCAGGGAATCACACCTGCTCACTCATTTGGAATTGAACATGATTCGTTTTAAACAAAAGTGGTTAAAAAAAAGGAAGGAACGTGTTTAAGTAAGAGTAGCGCTACTTTAGCATATTTTTACTATAGTAAAACTAGTCAATGAATATAATTAAGAGTTAAGAGATATTTGGCAAAAAGGGCAACTCAAAGTTCATTCATAAGGTTCTAACATTTTTTTTTTGCAAACTTTGTTTATTTGGATTTTAACAGGAATTGCATAGCCATACAATTACAATATGATACATATAAAACAAACCATACAATTCCCTTAAGTTATAAGGTTCTAACATTTGATTTCATTTGAAAATGGTGTAATCAGACAAAACAGATAATAGAAGAGCCAATTATAGTTTATTAAACAATAAAATTGTCATGATCCAAAGTGGGAGGCGAAGCATTATTTCAAAGTACAATGGGCAAAAAAAATATTTTGGGTGAAGTTTAAAGATATCTTCAATGAAGATGCTGCCATCTTGTGGCAGCATCTTCATCCTGTAAGTACAGGTGGAAGCCTTCATTCAACTTCATAAATATTAAAAATCTGCTAACAAAACAGTTTTGTAGTTTATTTTATTGGGGATTAATATATAGCAGTGTGAGATATTCACTGAAAATCTATTAAAACAAAAAACTTCCAAGTGGTAATGATAATGATATAAAGGGGAACTAAAAGAAAAAAACAAATAGTTTGAAGTTTATTCTCGGAATGCTGACGTTATGCATGTGGACACCTGTGAGCTACCAGCTTCAATTCCCTTTTTTTTTGTTGACATGGTTGAAGGATGCTATTGTCTGAGATTAAAGTCTGTGGAAACATCACTCTGGACTCCAGGGAACATGGATTGTGTGCTTCTCCTCTCTTCCTCCAAACCCTGGAACATTGATTTCCAGGTGAAATGCAGAATTTACTTCCATTTGAAAAAGAAGACTGTGTCACAGAGCAACAGTCCAGTCCAGTTGGTTTTCTCCACAGCCAGGTAAGAAGCTTCTGTTGTCTCTGATTCAGGAGTGATGTGACACGAGTAATGAGATGTTTGTAGTCCATGTGCAAAGTGTCTCTTGATGCGTTGTCTCAAGCCACAGTTCACTCACTGTGAATCTGCCAGAAATTCTTGAGTGAATTTTCTAATTCTATACGAGCTTCTTTTTGGAATAAATTTCTGACATGAATAACCCTTCCAATCATATTCTTATTTATTGAAATGCACCTGTACAAAACCGAGTCAGCAACTTCTAAGTAGCCACATCTTTAAGAAATCAGTTAGAAGATTAAACCTTTTTTCTAACATTCTGAACAGAGCAGCTCATGAAGAGACAGAAGCCGTTTTAAGACATGTTATGCAAAGACTCGCTGTTAAACTGAAATAAAGACATGATAAAATGATGCACACTTTCTTTACTGAACATGGACAGGGACTGTTTTATGCTGCAGGAAGTTTTTCAGGCTGGTTGGCATGTCCAGCTCGTCGATGCAGTGGCTCTTGTTGATGCTGTTCAGGTGTCTTCGCACCGCAAGTCGGCAATGCCAGGTCAAGGCTTTAGGAGTTCCTGAAGATGGAAAAAGAAGAAGAAACAAAAAGGTGTGTTTTAATGAAGGTATCTGCCATCAGAGGATACATCTCACTATCTGACGATGCGTTGAAGAGTTTCGGAGGCAAAGCGAGTCCTGCCGGGATCAGGTATCCTTCGTTCAGAGGGCACCGCTGATTTCTGATCACTTTATTTGGAGAAATGTTCCCTGATTTCAAAACTTAGGCTGAAATGATGCTTGCAATTCCATGATAGCCAGTCTGTTTGTGTGGCAGTAGTCAGATTCACAAACGTTTGATTACGCACAAGTGGGCGCGCAATTCAGTGCGGACCAGCTGAGAGACTGGTGCGTTCCGGCCACAGCAGGTGAATCGTTCATAATACCGTGTTTCCCCGAAAGTAAGACAGTGTCTTACTTTCTTTTTATCCCCAAAAGCCCCACTATGTCTTACTTTCGGGGTATGTCTTACATTGGAAAAAAATTGTCGAATGTCGAATGAACGTATGAAGAGGGGGACGGCGCGGTGACGTATGGAGGGGGGGCGGCGCGGAAGTGGGCAGGAGGCGGCGCTCATTAAGATCAGAGGGAGGTGGCAGACGCGGCGACGTATGGAAAGGGGGACGGTGCGGACGTGGGCAGGAGGCGGCGTGCAGCTAGATGAGAGGTGTTTCCCCGAAAAGTAAGACATATGTCTTACTTTCGGGGTACGGCTTATAGAAAGCAGAAAGCGATACTTTTCTTTTACTGAGACAACTGACTAGCTAACGTCGTGTTAGCAACTCTGGGTTACGTTGGTGATGCCGCTTATCTTTCACTTGTATGCTATGTTTAGTCATGGTCTATAAATCCGGTGATTCAAACGTATCCACAATAATGTGCACAGTGTTAGCTCAGGAAGCCAGTGGACGGGGTCCGGATCAGAAAGTATGTTCTGTACCTGAACTCAGGGAAGAGAGTTTCTCTCTGTCCCATCATAATGATGAACCGAGTCCAGTTCCATCATAGGATGGATGGTGTATTCATAAGGTAAACTACGGTTTCTTACACCCCTTTCCCACCCAGCTCCCGTATTAGTATTTTCCCATAAATATCCCCTCCTCTGACAGAACCGCACAGAGACATTTCCCATATTCTCAAATCCAAAATTTGACAGGTACGGGTGTATTTGAAGACATCTATGTTGGGAAATTATATGGACAATAAATATATTGTTTACTGAAGTCAGTGCATTAAGTCTATTGTTTTTTCAGTTATAACTCTTCAAATGGTGGTGTGATAGTCGTTGAAATACCATCTCCAAGTGGTATAATTTCCAAGTGGTATCATTTTACTAGAAAAACAAATCAAAATCCAGTAATTTTTCTATCCTTCAGAAATCGCTGTAATGTACAATTGTAAGAATCCTGAAGGTAAAGCTGTGGGGCAGTTTTGAGTGTTTCTGGATGGTAATGCAGTACATTATTTTGTGTCTCTGTTAGTGATTCCGGCAAGTTTGATTCAGGCAACATGTTTTTATCAATACTGAGATGTGAAATTAGCTGTAGATTTAACCTCACTTGGACTGACGGATATTTATTTTACCATCACATCCAAATTCAAAACCACTGTGTTTTATTTGCAATGAGTGCACTGCGTGTTTGATTTTAAAAAGAACACATGGTCTATTATTTACACTTAGCATAATTGGAACATTGTTTAAAAAACAACAAAAAAAAAGACGACTCGAAAGGACTTGAAACTTGACTCGACTTTTGCCTGTCTTTACTTGAGACTGGACTCGGAATTGAGGACCAAGACTTAAGACTTACTTGAGACTTGCAGCACAGTGACTTGGTCCCACCTCTCTATAGTAGTTACTGGAGTCAATTGAATTAAATGCAATTGATGTGTCAGTGTTATTTAAAAATCGATGTGTAAAATATACTGGTGGGATTTTTCTTTTACTTCAAACTGACTATCCAAAAACTTTCATTTAGCTATTTATTATGTGTATTTTATCAATATATAAAGAATATTTGGCTCTTGTACATTTCTACAAGAGACAAATGTCTTTGTACATTTGTTTCTTATTGCTATTTCCATATATTTTTTGTGTGAAGCTACATCCTCCAGCATATGGTTGACTTGCTGCTGCTACACTTAAATTTCCCCACTACAGGACAATAAAAATGATTCTATTCTACATACAATTTGTGAGAATTTTCCTTCTACTTCAAGACGATGCACAATTCTGTGTTGGTCTATCAGGTAAAATACCAATAAGATTTTTGGCTGTTATAAAATGAAAAAGGGATGTGACTACTTTGACAAGGCACTATAACTTGGTTATACTGAGTGGGTTTTGCATACCTCTCTCACTCAGGAGCAGCTCCACTGCTGGTTGATTCATGAACCTCTCAATGATCAGCTTGGGGAGGTAGACGTTTGCGCCGAAGTCGATCAGTAGCTGGATGTACTCCACGCCGCAGCCGTACCTCAGGCACATCTCCAGCATCGTTCTGTGATGGATGCTGTGGATGGTCACGTCCGTGCAGTTGTAATTCGGGTCAGCCCCATGGAGGAGCAGCAGCCTAAAGCACTCTAAGTGTCTGTTAACCGCAGACAGGCAGAGCGGTCCTCTGGTCACACTTTCGTAGAAGGGCCACAACCGGAACTTAGAACAAGTGTTCGCATTGGCGCCGTGAACCAGCAGCTGCCTGAGGATCTCCACGTCGCCATTCTTGGCAGCGGTGAGGACCGGGGAGCTGTTGTTGGATTTGCTTCCGTTGGGGTTGGCGCCTGCTGCGAGGAGGGCAAGGACACAGTCCAGGTGTCTTCCACGAACTGCGTTGAAAAGAGGCGTTTGGGCTTTGACGTCTATGGTATCTACAAAAGCGCCGTGGGCCAGCAGAACCTTCAGGCAGCTGAGGTGGCCTTTAGATACGGCGGCATGGAGGGGAGTGCCTGCGATGCCCCATCCTCCTTTGCAGTTGATGACTTTCTTGTAAATTTCCTGGCAGAGCATGTTGTCAAGGAGTATGTCATTGTTTTGTAACGCCACCTGCCTGAGCTTGGAGATTTCGTCGCTGTATTCTTCTTCTTCAGTTCTCCTGAGCTGGAACATAGAACCTGGTGGAAAAAATGGTGAAGTCAGAAAACCACAAAAGTCCCAATTTGGAAGGACAAGGGGCTGACTTTAAGGCCCAGCGGTTGGTAAGGCTGTCAAGAAATCTCCACTGCGACAAAGAGTGGCATCTTTTAGCTGTCACCAAGTTTCCATAGCAACCATTTTGAGAGAAAACGCATCTTAAATTAGCCTGGTCCCTTGTTCTATGCGTGGCTTCATACAGATGGTCTGGACCCTCTTCTATAGAGAAATGATTGCTTGCCGGAGGCATGTACTCTGTTGAAGTTTGAAATGACCAGATACGATTTTACCCAATCGCTCACATTTGACTGTGACAAATGTAATGCACCAGCTACACCGTGAACCTTACAGAAAATTGAGTACGTTGTAAACAATCATCATCTACTGCGAAGAGAAAAGTGTTGAGCCAGAGAACATCTTTGTTAGCAGTAAAATGTCTTTAGCATTCCTCTTGCTCCGGCTTAAATTGCTCAGTATTTGGAAGAGTGGCCATGTGTGGCTTCGTTCACTTCCTCTGCCACCATCGCCAAACTACAACCCTATATAGACAAACTACAATTGTAAAACAGCAAAGTAAATCAACGTGACCGTTCACAACTCCTCCTTCTGTTGCTGATGGGCCCCATTTAAATTCTGAGCCTTTTCCCTGCAAAGCAGCCATTCCGTTAACTTTACTTTGTGCTGATTGGCTGTACATCTAAAAACAGAGATAAGGAAGATTGTTGTAAAACCGAGATGGTTTCCACTGTGCTTATTAATGGATATTAGGGTATACTAGCTGTTTGAACAATACAATAGACAGCTATCAGTGTTCTTAGAGGGGGTATCATTATGGATTTCACCTATTTGAATGTCGGCGTTATTGCCATTGTCATCAAATGCTTCATTGTTCCACTTTTTTTTTTTCAATAAACTGTTTTTATTTTTGAAGCACTTCACATAACTAGCAGTGTGGATGGGCTTGTACAAACTAAACAATTATTTTGAAAAGTCTAACAAAGTTCATCTTACAAGCAGTTAAATTTGGCTTTAGCCTCCTTTTGAATGTAGTTTTTATCAGATACTAAAATAAATCCAGTTAAATAAACATAATTCTGTTTTCTTTGAGAAAAAAAAGATGCACAAGTTTTCATGTCAAGTTTTACATGACCCACATGACTACAATCCACCTCTAAATCAGTTCCAGTCTGAGGGAAACAGTCTGTCTTTGTTCAGAGTTTGAAGCTAAAGTTCAAAATCAACCGACCCTTTCAGTGGCTTGCTAAAATAGTCATACACTTTAACCATGTTACACTGCAGCAACAAACTCCTATGTTTCCTACTAGAATTATGTGTGATAAACATCTTAGAGTGCATAATTATGAAGTAGAGGGATAATGACTCATGGTTTTCACCTTTTTTTTGCATCATTTAATATCAGTATAAATCTAGTTGTTCTGTGAAGCTCTCAATTGTTTGATGGAGAACATTAAAAACAAACAGCATCAAGGCTGACAAAGGGACACAGCAGACGGGTCAGGGAGAAAGAATTTGAGAGGTTTAAAGTAGGGTTAGGAGAAAAGACATCCCAGCTTGAATCAAGCATATAATCCTAAACACAACATTCCCCTGACACAAGGTAACAGCAAAAATAATGCTGTGGGAATTTGTTTCTAACAATTGGGGAGAGAAGCTGGATGGAACTAGTTCAAGGACTATTCTGGAAGAAAACCTATTAAAAGATGCAAATGTCTTAAGACTGAGCCAGATGTTGGCTCAGTGGGGCTCAAAATATAAGCAGGCCACACTTATCAGACTTTTTTTTTATTTAAAATTGTGTTTTAATTTTATTCGTAATTATGCACTTCTTGGTACTCACACAAAAGCTCAATAAAATACAAAACAGTTGAAGGTTTCAACGTGACAAAATACGAAAACCTTAACCCCTACAGAGTCTAATCCGAGCAAAATTTCAGCGAAAATCTTTATCATTTTATGTGTAACACCAGAAACGCTTGTGGGCGTTAAAGGTAAACGTCAACCAATGTTTCCGTATTAATCTTCAAGATCTTCCAAGTAATTCGGCATGAGAAATGCAGCACACAGTTGAATGCGAGTATTTATTTCTCGGTTGCTGCTTTCGTAGTTGATGAGTTCTGCCGACGGAAATATTGTAAATTACGAAATATTCGGTAAAGTTCTGGTGAGCTATATGTAAGCCGAACCATATCTAATAATTTCAAGTTTTCATTAATCAAATCGAAACCTCTGAAACGTCACTGATAGTCATGTGTCGCTCTGTATCGTCAAAATTTGTGGATTGTCTCAAACACACCGTCTGCAAAAACAGCGTAATAATGCCTCAAATGTAGAAAGACACAAAAACGTTAAACTGTTCTTGTCTAAAATGACTTGTTTACATTATGAGTCTATTTATATTTATACTACCTTTGATGTGTCACAATGTTTCCCCCTTCTTCTTCTTCATTATTCCGCTTCCTTGTTATGCTGCTGTTCAGTATCTTTGCTGCCCTCTGGTGTTCATTAGACGCAAAAATTAAATTCTTGGTTTCTCAGAGCCACTCTATTTTCAGTCAAGTTCTAAAAAAGAAAGTTGGATTCAAAGCAATAATCGATTAATGAAAGAACAAAATATACAAATACACAAATAGTTACTTTATTTACTATCTTATTATCCTCACCTTTCCTAATTTCTTTGTAGAAATATAGCCCACTCATAGTAATTACCAACGAGATATTGTTAGAAGTTAAGACGAATTCAAAGAATGGTTAAGGTTATATTCAAATAAGACTTCAGGCCCTTATGGAGTCAGTCAAGCTTTATTTATATCAAGAAACATCCTGTTTTGTCTCCGACTCCCAACAAAACTAGCATATCTAGCAGGATTCAAAACTTGAGACTTGGCAATGACTCTCCATACAATGAAATGTTATAGGAAGACTAGGGAAGTGATCACTTCTCAGGATCATCTACATGTTTTCCTACTGAATGGGTGTTGACGATGTACCATTTCTTAAGCTACACAATATTTCTACTCACCATGAAAGCATGGGTAGCTCTGTTGGGTTCATGTTTTCCTAGTGACTGCCAAAATTGAAACCACATATTTTAGTAAAGGAATTAGTTTAACCTTTCTTAGATTTTAGGCTAAGTTTGGTAACTTCCAAATGAAGTAGAGATACTTAATCTGAACCTCTACACCTTAACTTCTCAATTAAGGTGTTTTATACCTTAACTTCTTTAGCTAATGTTACCCTGTCTTACGCTTTATGACTGTTGTCATAAAGCGTCATTTGGTAAATTATGACACTTTTAATACAAAGTTGACATTATTCAAAATGTCTTTATTATGACAACTTGACATTAACCAAGAAATCATTACTGTTTAAACTTTACCTTTAATAACATAAAGTTACCTAATTTTTAAAGTACAATCAATAATACTTTTATAATAAATTTATATCAGTAATGACTTCTTGGTTAATGACAAGTTGTCATAACAAAGACATTTTGAATAATGTCAACTTTGTATTAAAAGTGTCATAATTTACCAAATGACGCTTTATGACAACAGTCATAAATATTCATGAAGGCTTATTCATGTACATGACAGGTGTTATGTCATGTTTATGACGGTGTCATGACAGTCTTATTCACCCCCCTTCAAATAAAGTGTTACCAAAAAAAAACAATTTGTCCAGAGAAACTGTCAACAATAGAAGAGTACATAAATACAATATGTGTATTTAGTGTTTACACCTCGTGAACCGTGAATAAAGAACACATCTGGGACAAAGTGGCATTCAGTTTCTTTGATTACTTGATAGACTAACGCTTCAAAAAACAGGAAGTTATGGAGCAGCAAACTTGACACTGATGGACAGGAGGGATTGTGATCTCAGGAAGGTGGAGGAGGACCCAGTGCCCGCTACAGCACCACTCCGTCTGTAAAAAAAATCAAGAAACTGTCAGGTTTACAGTTTAACACCATATCCTTTTACAGACAATTGACCCTACAGTACCCTCAGGTACTCTGCAGCCCTTCCCTCAGATTATGTTTTCTTCTCAGGTGCTCAGCAGGTGTTACTAATCCTGTCTTTACATGTCAGGTCGCAGCTTCTTAATCCGTTCAGCTGCTGTTCAAATTCACCACAGTGTAACACTTCAATCTACCGCCAAGACACCCAACTCTCTATTCTCTTCTCCACCTGGTGCCAGATAATCCTAGACTCTAAACTAAAAACATTTGATGTAAGAAACACTTTTAGAGCAGTAATGACTTTTTCTGCAACAGATTGCTCTACCAGAGCAGCTCATCACTCCTGACCCTGAGTAGATTTAGGTAGATTTAAACTGAGAGACAAAATATCAATGTATTTTGATGGTATCAAAGTACTTTAATACTGGATAAGGTCAAAGAAAAGCAATTCTTTTTCTGTTTCTCATATGGTGATAACCTATCACGCATCCAGTCAAAATTAGAGCCAATAATTTCCTGAGTCCCAAATATTTTGTGTAAAATTAGGAAGAATTAAATTTCTTTCTTTGTAAATTTTCTCTGTAATTTACAGATACTTTACACATCAAAACATCTACTCACCATGTTTCAAATAGACTCAGAAACATGTAGAACTTTTTCCTTTTTTTATTAATTTCTTTATCCTTACGTGACAGTAAACTGCATGTCCGCATGATGACTTGTTCATGAAATTACAACATGCAAATGCTCAAAAAGACCCACATTCCAGGACATCTCTGCTTTAAAGTTAGGCAATGCTGCACCCATGTAATAAGTGGTTAACCTTTGTACGTTTTTGCTTCAATTATGAAATTTAAAAGCATTTTTTCTTCTGCATTATGCATCTTCAGGAGGTACTCCAGTGAGTCTGGGGCATGTTCCCAGCAGGACTGAAGACTAAATGCGTCCCAGGATTCCCCGGTGAGAGAGTGGGCTAGACTGACCCCCTCCTCAGAGGGAGCCATCGTTCTGTCTCCGCTCTGAGTAATGGGACTTCTCTCTGTAGCTTGTTGTCCTGATTGCTCGTTTTGCTAAAGAAATATGTGCTTTTCTTGAAAATTTCCTCTCAAAAAAACAGACTGAAAGGGCAGAAAAGCCCGTCTCTGTCAAACTGACATCTTACCTGAACAACAGCGGGCCAGTTTGTGTGTCAGTGCTCTGTCAGTATCATGAGGTGTTTGAGGCAGACGATGGAGCAGTGAATGTTTTCGGTCACTAGAGGGCAGTACACTGCATGCAGCGCCTTAAAATGTTGGAGGCCTGCTGCACAATTTAGTGCATTAACATGAAGTAGAAGGAAAATGACAAATGGTCTTTCTTGTAGGTTAGGAATAAAAATCTGATAAGTTTGGGGAATATTTGCTTATACTTGGTTTGACCAGAACCTTTGATCTATGTGTAAAATACATGTGGTGGAAAAACTGTGACTGTTCATCACTCTAAAGATTGTTTCATCTGTTGTACTACTTTTTGCATGGGTACTAAAAAGAAATCTGCCCAGACTGAGCAGGGATTGGTCAGCTGCCTGTGACAGCATGATGGGGGGCGGAGCTTTGGTTGTGGCTCAACCGGTCCGCCACACACAAATATGTCATTAGAATTTCCGGAGCTGGTCGCCTGATAATCAAGGAATTTTTTAAACATCCAACTTGTAGGGCTGTAATTCCAAGTAGTTCCTTTCAGCTCATGAGTTAAAAAAAAAAAAAAAAAAAAAAAACTAATTTGTGTGTAGAGACACTAAAGCTGAGTCCAGATAAAACATGATGTAACCAGGAGCTGCTATAGTGGCAGAGTTTAAGTTTGAAAGCTGAAAGACTTGTTCTGTGTGTTTGGGCAGGAGAGGTAGAAATGATTGTATGAGGAAGTTGCACAGGAAATCAGAAAAACCTGAACACCAAACGGGAGAAACAACTGCTTCTCTCCTCCCACAATGGTTCAGACAACAGTAACAATTCAGCCGTAGTAAGTCGCAGGTGCCCTGTCAGACCTGACAGAATAAAGGAGAAGGAGAGGTCTACTTCAGCAGGGTGAGTACAACCTGGAACATCCCCATTTATGTTTATGAGTTTGAACAGGTGAGGTTTACTCTTGGATTTTTCTGTTTTCAGGAGATTAGGAATCAGATTTGGGTCGTTTGATACTAAAAGAGGAAAAACCATGAGCTACGCTGATTGGATGTCGCAGCTGCCAGCTGAGCTTCACACCATCCCTCTGTTTAAACTGGCCATACCAGGTGGGAAACTCCGGTTCTGTCACGGTGCCAAGAACGTAATCATGATGAAAGAACGTAGTTTTGTTTTCTTTATCAGAATCTAAGCTGATTCTAGTCTAACTTCAAGTCTACAGGAGTAGCCCTACCCTAGAAGTTTAGAGTGCCTTAAAAATGGAAATCAATTGAATTAATCTTGTAAACAGTCTCCATCACTTTGCCGAAATACTCACAAGCCTTGAACTTTTTTGCGTTGTGTTACTTTTCAACAGCAGGGACAATGAAGCGGGTCAATGTTGATGAAGAGATGGTCTCTGTTGGAGTAGGGGTGTCCAAAGTGCAACCACAGGTCTATTTGTGACCCCTTGGGGATTTTGCACGACCCACAAGTGCAACTCTCCAATGAGTGCAATTACACTCATAAGTCCTCTACTGCTGTTGTTGTGTGCATTTGAGGGATGGAATCAGGTTTAACACGCTACACTACACCAATTAGTTCATGATCTACAGAAAACAAAGTTTGTTTTCTGGAGTTCTCGAGAAAGTTATTGGGAAATTAACTAATCTTGTAAAAAAAAAAAAAAATTATATTCTGTGATTTTTTTTTTTTTTAAATCAAGTAGAACCAGAGATAGTGAGTTTTTTCCCCCAAGCTATAGTAAATTCAACATTTTAGAAAACCAAATTTGAATACGAGTGGTATTCAAATTTATAGGTATCTACAGTAATCTGTAGATACCTATAACCCAGAGCAGTAGTTTTCCTACATGATCTTTCTTTTGTCATCCCTAGGAAGCCATGACTCGATGAGTTATGACCTGGACATCGACTCTAGAATCATCGAGCCTGAGAGACTGAGGAGGTTCAGCAGAATCTACTGCCTGCGGAAAATCATCCACACTTGGGCAGCCACGCAGGTAAGGAGCGTTTTTAACAGCAAATGTATTTCTGAGAGTGATGGAAAAGGGGTTTGAATTGCAAGGTCTTTTGATCACAGGAGGTGTGCATAACTGAGCAGTTGAATGCTGGAGCTCGCTACTTTGACCTTAGGATTGCCCGCAAGCCAAACGACACAAATCCCACCAGGCTTTTCTTTCACCATGGCCTGTACACCCGAACTGATGTTGAGGTAAACATTAAATCTCTGAAGGGTAAGCGTGGACCAAAGTGTAAATCCTTGATAAGTCATTCATGTTTCTTGGGGGTTTGTTAGCTCATTGTGTTAAATATAAGGACATTTAATTGAGTGTGGCTGTGTATTCCCTCCCCCAACCCCCTAATTTCAGACTGTACTCGGGGAAATAAACATGTGGGCAGAGAGTCATCCTAAAGAAATCATCATCCTGTCTTTATCCCACTTTGAGGGGTTTGACAAAAAGATCTCCAGACAACTTCACAACCACCTCATCACCTTCATGAAAAATCTGTTTGGAAAGAAACTCCTCCCGAAGACGGTAATGTTTTTGCTGACCATCTTTTGGTTATAAATCTCTCAAAAGTATTCCTTTTTAAGGGACAACAATAATGTGTCACCACAGAACTCTCCCACCCTGAAGAGCTGCTGGAGTCAAGGCAAAAACATAATAGTCTCATACGACAACATACAATTTATACAGCCTGTGTTATGGAGAAAAATAACTTATTACTATGGCAACAGCATGGACCGTGCAGTAATTACAACCAAACTCTCTCAGGCTTTGGAAAAGGAGAAATCCTTCAACTGTGAGTATTCCTTGCTTCTACAACCATTTGTTGGCTTGGTTCCCTTTTAGTGACGACTTGTGTCTTTACGCCGCGTTCCGTGCCTCGGAATACATCTGTGACCCTTTCTGTCCAGATTTCTTTGTCTGTGGCTTGAATCCAACCCTACCACATGACACCAGAATCCTCAGGTACATCCTTCGCATTTGTGACAACTTCACCAACGTTGTGCGAAGGGGTCTGCCAAAATTGCTGCGGTGGGTGAACCAGCAATACGACAAGACGCCAATGAACATCGTGGCCTCAGACGTAGTGACTCGAGATGATTTCGTCGCAACGATTGTGAAGCTCAACTTGAAACGGGCAAAAGGACGATGAAAACGTGTCTACCCGTTTTATTTATATGTTTATTTTTGTAAAAGATTGATTTTTATATTTATCAAGAAGACTTAAAAAGTCACTTGATGCTTTACTTGTTTCTACGCATATTGTTTCTATTCTTGAGCGACATAAATACAGCTAACCTTTGAGTAAATTGGCCTCAGAAGGCAAAATTTTAATTTAACAGGGTTTATGCGCAATTTTTATGTAATTTCCATAATTATCCTGATTCTATTTCCTTTTTGAAAGAGTTGTCAGTTCTGAGAAAATTAAAAACATTTATTTTCAATAAAACAGTTTACATGGGATTTGTTGACATTTCTACAACTTCAATGTGACGCCAGAAAAAGGAGAGAAGTAGAGGAAGACAAGCAAAGATAGTGAGGTGTGACTCAGAAGAAAGGAGAGAGAAGAAAGTGAGGCAGTAAGCAAAAAAGGAAAGGCATAAAGAAAAGATACACAGAAGGAAGAAAGGCCACAGGGAATGAAAGAAAAACTTAAAGAAATGATATGAGAAAGAATAGAAGTAGGACATAAGAAAGAAAAGAGAAAATGGGCAGAAAAGAGTTTAAAAAGAGGACGGACAGAAAGAAGGGAAGAAATGGCACAAGGTGGGGAAATTGGTACATAAAAGCAGGACAGATGGAAGGAAAGCAGGGAGAACAAGGAAGGAAAGAAAGGACAGACACAAAGAAAGAATGGAGGACGGAAAGAAAAGGAAAAACGGAAGGAAAAAAACAGAAGCTAGTCAATGTAATGGAAATTGAAATATTTTTCAAAACTTCTAATCTTTCTGTCTATTTTGCCAAACTGAAAACTCTGAAACCAAGTTCAATGCTTCGTGTGAACTTTTTTACATTTTTTTGGCCTGGAGCGCTATCTTGTGTCGAATGAGGAGAATGCAGCAAGAGAATGTTTCCCATGCATGGGAGTGTAGGCTGTTGTATGTCAATAAAGCGGCTAACGCTAGCGCGCTAAAGTAATGCACTTAGTGGATTAGGATGTTGAGACAGGCATGGCGTTGGTCGGCGTTTAGAGACACTCGTGCGGGGACCGCACTCTCCGCGGCTGCGTCCTTTCTGGCAGCTGACAGTCCGCGGCGGAGCTCAGCTGGTCCCACGAGGGGTTTCGAAAACATTCCCCATCCACTGAGAGGCAGCTCACAGCTACTCCTCCAACCACAGTCTGTGTCCGCCAGCTACTACAGGTAATAAGGCGAGCTCAGAGTAATTAAATAACCTTCCTGTCAACTGACAAAGAGAGGAAGGAGCGCTCGATATTTTACAGTGCGTCATTGTCATTTTGTTCCTTGTGGAATTATAACAGTGGAGAGTTAGCGCCACTTGAAATTCCATGTCGAAAACAGGTATTTAACATGACCAAAACGTTAGCTTTTGTCAAGAGGAGTGCACTGCTGAACAAAGACGATTAATTCAAGTTGAAAGACCCTTTCCTTAAATTCGGCATAGATAAAAATGTTACAGCACTTATCTTCAGTAGCACGCGTTAGCTTTTGTTACTGGTTACCATGAGAACGTCCAGACGTGTCTTCGCTAACACTGAGAATTAGCTATACCGGTGCGATTCGCATGTCAGAAATTCGTATATTCTTTTCTTTTGTAATGTAAATATTTCGGCCGACAGGAGGGAGTAGACTTAATTTGTCGTAAGGTGTACGCTCATACTCACACGAGGGCGCATATACACCTGCAAGCCCAGTTATATTAAACTGTAAAACAATTAAATGGAATTCGATAGTTCGCTTACCTAGTACTGCGCAAATGTGAAATGGGTTTTGTCTTGATATGATTTGGCTCATATCGACACCTATAGCTGTTAACGTACTGTGAATATAATTGCTTTATTAGATTATGCATTCTGCAGAAACATGGTGGTAGTAGTGGAGTGGTGTGGGACTTCCGTTTCAGGTACTGGACGAATTGTTTTATTTGGGGAAACCATGAATTTAACATGCTAGCAGAAAAAAACAAAACAAAACAAAAAACAATGTCCAGTCATGAGATTTTTTACCTTAAGCTCAGGCGCACTAGGGTTACAAAGTTATGTAAAGCGCTTCAGGAAGCCCTCTTTTGGAAGGCTAACAATAATCCGTTCTGCAATGAAAATGATCCAAAATTTCTCAATGCAATTTAAAAGTATCATTGCCAATTATCGCAAACACTTGAAGGCAGCTGTTGCAGCCAACATAGGTGTATAAATTTAAATAAATTTAATTCGTTCACACTGCTGCAGCAGTCAGTCTGGCAACGAAAGTGAAAAGGCCTCTGACTGGAGGCTGTTGCTCTGACTGTCTCATTGAGTGGCACAATTCTAGAATGAATGTATAGCTAAAGGCTGAGTTGATTAATCTAATTCATCTTGATTAATTGATTATTGCAATAATCAATTAATTAATCAACTAATTTAGTAATCAATTACTAAATTGGCAAATTTGAAATCTCACACAGTGAGCAGTGATTAAGCCAAAACTCAAACTGTAAAAGACGTCTCCCATTAAGCAGCGTTTGCAATTCAGTTATAAACCCAAAATTAATCAACAGATTAGTAGGCCATATTTTTTTTTAGCTGCAGATGCATGTTTGCTACAAATGATCAAGCATTCATTCAAGAAATTCTGTTATTGCATTTTAAGCAAAAGTTTTGTTTTCTTACTAAAAAATGTAATTGAATTATTTGCTTATTTGCATATTTTAATGCATTTCAAATATTGTGTAAAAAAAAAGGGCTTAAGTGAAAATTTGCAAAATATGCTTTTTTTTTTTTTTACCTGATGAATTGATTAAACATCAAAAATAATCGATAGAATAGTCAATTGATAAAATAATCGTTAGCTGCAGCCCTGGTAGAGTTATAACCCCAGTTAACAGTGTCCGTTTTGCATTTTCCGTTTATACATGTCAAAGTAATACACAGTAGTACCAAGTTTGTATATTGAAATAAAGATAAAACTACTGGTTGTTGTAGTGGCTGTATTGTTGCTGTGCCTTCAGTCCGTCTGTGTTCCTGAGCATGGCATCAGGGAGTAGCGATCCACCATCACCGCATCCCAAACACACAAACCGGTTGGCCAAAGAGCGGTCGCCATACCTGTTACAACATGCACACAACCCCGTCGACTGGTGAGGCCCTATAAGCCTGACATTTATTCATCTTAATAAATTTGTATGTTGAAATGTGATTTTGCTTGTTTTGTCTGTTTTTGCAGGTATCCATGGGGACATGAGGCGTTTGAAAAGGCAAAAAAGGAAGACAAACCCATCTTCTTATCAGGTAAGATGTTCAATTCAACATTATTATTATTATTATTATTATTACTTAAACCCAGATGATTGGATTTTGTTGCATTTCAGTCAGCTCAAAGCAGAGAATCTCAAAAAAATGTATCAGTTGGGATTCTTCATGGAATAACATAAAGAGACTTTAATTCAATTTAATTTCATCTGTATAGTGCCAATTCACAACAAATTTCAACTGATTTAAATTTAATCATAAATACAAACATACCACTTGTTCCCAGTTATCAAACTGGGAACAGTAAAATTCTGTCAATTAATTATTCAGAGTAGCTAACGGGCTCTGATTTTGTAAGATTAAGTCAATATATAACCTTCACACCACTTATCAAAAGATTTACATTGAAGTGACAAAATGCCTGTTCTCAGCACTCTATTTGCTAAAGTTATGCCTAATGATTCTATATGATCGTCTCCAACCACCAGTGGGCTATTCAACGTGCCATTGGTGTCACGTTATGGAGAGGGAGTCTTTCAAAGATGAGGAGATTGGAAAAATCCTCAGTGACAACTTTGTCTGCATCAAACTGGACAGAGAAGAGAGACCCGACGTGGACAAGGTCTACATGACCTTTGTGCAGGTTTGTGTGTTTCTTAGACTTTTTTTCTCAACTCAGGCTGTTTTTTTTTTCTGCATTTGGTTGTTTTATTTATTTATTTTCTTGTCAGGCAACAAGTGGGGGTGGAGGCTGGCCCATGAGTGTGTGGTTAACTCCCGACCTTAGACCTTTTATCGGAGGTACTTACTTTCCCCCGAGGGACCAAGGAAGAAGACCAGGCTTCAAGACAGTTCTGATGAGAATCATTGAACAGGTGGCACCACTTTGTAGAAACACTCAATAAGTTAACCGAAAATATTAAGAAGTGACTTAGATATTAGGCGTGCACCAATAGATCGGTCCTATTTCCTGAATTTTGGGAGAACAGGCCATACTTGTATGACAAACAGGTCTTATCTGCCTCCCTCTGCAAATGTCTGAAAATCTGCCACTGTCCCTTTTTCCTCTGCTGTGAGCAGGCAGACCAGACCACGGTTAACAATTGTCACTTCATTGTTGCCAACTTGGGAACTTTGTCTCTATATCCAGCGACTTTTCAGAAAAAGAAAATCAATATCAGCTAAAGTCAGAATCAACAGGTCAGGCTCTTCAAAGATCGGTGATGGGCCAGAAGACAATCAGTGCACCGCTATTTGTAGACATGTTGCATGTCATTGTTTTCATCCAGATATTTTGTACATGTGCACAATGCTGGAGGGCAAAAAAACTACTCATTTACATGCCATCTATAGCTGCGCTGCTGCGGTACAACAGTTCCATTAGCAAAATGAAACCTGGATATAAAGGTGTTATTAATTCAGTGATGTGTTCCACAACAAAAGGAAAATAACGCTGAAAAACCATTGAAGAATATCTCAACCACTCTTATTCTTCTTTTTTCCTTACTGTCTGTGGCAGCTATGCTACACACAGACTCGTTGCCGTGGCAGCTGACAACAGCTCCACTAGTGTATCAGGATTAACCAGCAAAAAACACAAACATTTCCCACAAAAAGAACACAACACTTGCTGTACTGATGATCTGTCAGAGTGTGTGTGTGGATTCCCTTTAACTGAACTGAAACATGCCAAATTCTGCAGCACAACTACATGTTAAGGTTGTCAAAGTCAAGCTAGCTTAACCGGCCTACTTCCCTTACATTGCTATTTTTTTTTTAATTAGAACTTTTTTTCTAACATGTGAAATATGATACTCTTGAACCTTATCTGGACGTCATAGTGTTTGCAATTAGTAGCCAAGTACTGCATCCCTTTTCCTTTGATACGTCGCGCTCATATTTAAGATTTAGCACGTATTGTTGACAATTTGACAGCTAAAACCAATTACAGTCAATGTTATTGCCCTCCAGCAGGGAGCTGGGGGCAGGATCTTGCAAGCGTGACGTCACAATGCAATGTGTTCATTTAGAGGCTCTGAAAAGTGGCTTCCTCTCTGCAGTGGCAGAACAACCGAGCGACTTTAGAGTCCAGTGGTGAGAAGATAATCGACGCTCTAAAGAAAGCCACAACCATCACTGCGAACCCAGGAGAAAGCCCTCCCTTGGCCCCAGACGTTGCTAATCGCTGCTTCCA